TTGGCCGCAGGCGCCATTGCGATTGAATTGAATTGAATGGAATTGGGGCTGAATTGAAACCCTAGCAGTGTACAGACTGAAGATTGGGCGAAACTACTTGATTTTCTGGATACGTTTAGGGTTAGGGTTTTGGGAATTAGGGATCGAATAATTAGAAAGGAGATATGCCAGAAATGCCGGGAAAGCCAGTTATATACACAAGGCAGAGATAGGCTTTCTTCCCTCACCCGTTATACAATACTGAAATGACAAATATACCCCTAAGCTTTTGTGATGGACCGTCCGATTTCCGGCAAGCTTTCAAACCCGCGGCTTTCTTGCCACGGGTGCATGATATCTGGTGCACCCAACATATCCTCTCCGGTTTTTTTCGATGATGATCTTCGTAAATTGTGTTCGTTCATCGTATATTATGTAATCAGTTTTTGTCAAATACTATTTGGTTTAATTTTAAATAATAAATTTAAAATAATTTTTTATCGTAAGATATACGATAAATGAACACGATTCACGGATTTTCAAAATCCTCATAAAGAGAATCTGCCGAGGATCCGGATTCCTGGTGCACTGTGTTACATAAAATAAGTCCAACTTAGCAGCCTTCTTTCCTTTTCACACGGGTGGGCTCCGTGAACAACGGTAGCCCAAGCATCTTCTTTCAGGATTTTCATTTAGCCCACAAGATATGGGTATTTGCAAGAAGTGGATTATATTGAGCCCTTTGGCATTCCATTGGAGATAGCACAGGTTCCGTTCACTTGGATGTGATTTTAATATTGTCTGTTTGGAAATACTTATAAAATAATTCGAAAAGCATTTTAACAAACAAAATCACTTGTGATTGTATTTAGCAACAAAACGTACAAGCCCTTTTTTGTTACACGCCAAGAAGCATTTTGATTTTGAATAAACTTTTATAAAGCTCTTACAATTGGAAGTGCTTCTTACAAAGTCGTCTTTTTATTATGGATGGCTGATTTGCTTAGGCCAAAATCTCCATTCTAAAATTTCACCATGAATATCGTCGTCGCCGCCACTACTACCTTACCATAGCCATTGCTACCACCACTCCTCCCCACCACCATCACTCCATGCCCACCACCACCACCACCACCATTACCTTTACTGACACCACCTTACCATGGACAATTACTACCACCGCAACATTACCGCCGCCAACCCCACTGCCACCACCCATCATCGTTGCGACCACCTCACTGCCATCACCGTCTACCAACACCTCTATTTTCACCACATTTCCATGGCCATCATTATCACCCCCACATTGCCGCCGCCAACTTCAGTTCCATCATCACCACCACCATCGTCGTTGCCGCCACCTCACTACTACCACCACATCACCTACACAATCACCACTCACTGTAATCGCCACTATCACCACTACCAGGGTCGTCTCTGAGATTTCAGGGGCCCTGTGTGAAATTCATAAAAGGGGCCTCTTATAAGACATCTTAAAAAAATTGAACAATGTATTGATACTAAAAAGCAATATGGAAATAAACAAAACTTAAAAAAGTCTAGAATCGAAGCTTCACTTAAAGATGGCTCTTCGTGCATTCTTTGCTGCAAAATCATCAATTAAATCTTCATAATCAATTTTGTCTAAAAAATCACTCTCAATCGATATCAAAGCAAGTCCATTTAACCTTTCCTGCAACATGGTTGATCGCAAGTATGATTTTAATAACTTTAACTTCGAGAAACTCCTTTCTGCAGATGCAACGGTAACAGGTACAGTCAACAAAATTTTGTATGCAATGCTTGCAATTGGGAAACAACGTATCTTCTTCAAGTAGTTCAATATGTCAATGGATGTCTTTATTTCTTTCAGCAAACACTCTCGTAAAAGCTTCAACTCTACTAATAATGCATCCCCATCAACATCAAAAAGCTCATATTTCTTGAGAAAGTTTTGAAGCCGATCACAACAATCTTTCAATTTATCATTGTCTATCGAATTCAACCGTTTTGAGGTGAACAAAAACCCAAATATATCATCATACGCTTGATATTCTTCAAACCTTATCTTTAATGAACCAATAGCTTGATCTATTATATACAAGAAGTAATGAACCCTAAAAGATTCCTCTGCTGATTGTTTAGTTGGTTGGGATGATTCACCTTCATTCTCATCAAAATGTCTTTTTCAACGAACTTGACGCTTTTCTGGAAACATGGGATTTCAAAATAAACGATCAATCTTTGTACTTGTTCTATAGCAACATCAATAAGCATGTCTTTAGATTGCAAATCTTTGCTAACCTCATTAACAGCATCCAATATTTCATACCAAATAGTCATGCCTAATAAAAACTCAAAATTCCCAATGTCGTATGTTGCCAAATATTTAGTTGCACTTCTTGTTACTAAGTCATTATCACTTTCTGCTAATTGGAGTAAAGCTTTTTTTATTTATAGAGGTTGGGATTGAATTGCTTTAACACTCACAACACGGCTTTTCCATCGTGTGGCCGAAAATGATTTGAGAGTCAGTCATTTTATATTTTCTTTCAAAATCAGCCATCGTTTTGTAGAATTTGCAAACAAGCTGTAAATACGTTGTACTGTTCCAAAGAAGTCTTTTGCTTTACCACAAGAGTTTGTCATCACAAAGCGTTAAGTTAAGATTATGGCAACCACACGGAGTGTACATTGCCCTAGGATTTATATCCAAAAGCCTCTTTTGTACACCTTAGTGTCTCCCTCTCATATTTGATCCATTATCGTAACCTTGCCCTCTTACATCATCAATATCAAGATCAAGAACTTTTAATACATTCTGCAACTCTTCAAACAGTTATTCTCTTGATGTGTTATTCGCAATCAAATATTGCAAGAAATATTCTTCTACTTTTACTAGAGTACTGTTCATATCCACACATCTTATGATCAAGGTCATCTGTTCTTGGTGGCTAAAATCAGGAGTACAATCAAGTATCATAGTAAAATATTTAGCTTCTTTGACTTTTTGAATGATTGCAGCTTTGATTTCACAAGATATCAACAATATCAACTCATTATGGATGGTATGACTAAGATAATGATAACGAATCTCATTATTTTAGAAGCGTTGAAGATGATTCTTTATTAATGGATCAGATTCAGCCATCATTTGAACTAGGCCCATAAATTTTCCATTACTTCCTTGATAAAGAGTATCATTATTTCCACGAAAAGCCAGTGTGTGTTTAGCTAAATATTTCACAATGGAAATCAACGTTTGTAGTAACTCCCTCCAATGCTCTTTTTCTTTCTTGATCTGGTCTTGCACAACTTTGTCAATTGTTTCGTTTTTCTGCAATCTAAGATGCAAATTAATCCAAGTGGTCATATTCGAGATGTGATCAAAACTGTTTTCATGCTCTTTAAGCCTCACATTGAGATGTGTCCAATCTTTGTAGCCCTCATTTGCTAATTGACCTTTGAGAGGCCATTTCTTGAACAATTTACAACAAAAGCATAACACTTTATCAACATCATTTGAATAGACTAGCCAATCTCTAACATGTTTCTCTCAATTGGATAAGTATCGAGTGTAAAAGGCTGCATTAAAACGCCTATTAAACTGATCTTGAGGACCTTTCTCAATTGATAGATCTCTTGCACGACCTCTTTCTGCCAACAAATCAATCCATTTAGGATCAAAACTATCCCAAATTTGAGGATCATAAATGTTTGAGGGAATGGACTCACTTGGTTGATCAGTGACAATAGGAGCATCTTCATGATTATCATTCTCATCAAGGTCATCATCAATTTCATCATTGCCCAAATCATCAACTAATTTCTCAATATCATCCTGTTGTTCCGTAATTAAATCATCAACTGAACTTTGTGGTTCTTTTTCTTTCAAAAAGAACCTATCAATAGCTCCTTTTTTAGACGTAATCAATTGTTCAACTTTTCTTTTTCTTTGATGCTTCAAGTAGCCAGATGAATATTTTTTAGTAGGTGCCATCTTTTATATCTCAAACAAGATCACAAAAAAATTATAATAAGTATGAACAATGAAACCTGATAATCCGTAATATGTGTGGGTCTAATGATTTTTTGTGACTGCTCTTCTCTTGTTTTTGCCCTGAAAAGTACAAAAATAAAAATAAAAATCATTATAGATGAGAAATACCCAAATCTTCAAATTTCGAGTCAATATACTTAAATTAGTAAATATCTTACTTTGATCGAAGTCTACATCACTCTGATAATTTGAAAGTTTCTCTTTAATTTCATAAATTTATAAATTAGGGTTTAATAATTTGTGGGAAATCTAACAGTGGAACGAAGAGAGAAGGGTTCGGGACACTGGTAGGCACAGCGTCTGAGATTTTGACTTCAGTGCTCTGGTACTCTGGTGGAAAAGAAGAAAAGTGGAACGCAGTTACGCAGCGTTGGGATTTTGGCGTGAGAGAGTGTATCTGAATTTTGCCTCGGTCAGTGGGTTTTCCACTTTAATTGATTAACTTTGCCGGTTTGCCTTTTATTAATTATTATTTTATATATTTTCGTATAGGTTGTAGCCGTAGGTAGTAGTCTAAGTCTGATGGGTCATGGATGATGGCTTAGTAGTCTAACATGGCTTTTAGGTAGTAATCTTGGCCCATTAGATTTTTATATGTATATATTTTGATTTGATTAGTATTTATATATAATATTATTATATTCAATAAAAAATATTTTTGGGGGACCCCAAAATTTTGGGGCCCTATGCCATAGAACCGATCACACTCCCCCAAAGCCAGCTCTGACCACTACCACCACCACGACCTTGCTATGGCACCACGTGCACCCCACCACTATAACCACCACCTCAACCCTAGTGAATTAATGTGTGTTAGTTAAAAATTCTCACTTATGTCGAACCTCAAACTTATTTCCCTAATCCAAATGCAGTGATGAAGATTTACTTGAGGGGCCTCAAGTACTAATCTATGTTACCAATCTTTCCCACTCAAAGCAAAGCTTGATTCCTTCACCCAAAATGAAAGAAAAGGAGAAAAACAAAGCTTGATTCGAACCACCTCACCGGATTTGTAACAATAAAAACATCAAACTCACAACACAGACATGCCGAAAAGGCATCGATTTCTACAGCCTAACATTTTTGCTCTCTCTCTTTTGTTGGGCTTGCCCCAAAATCTGTATGTTCATACAAATCTAACCTAGTTAGCAGACCATTGGATTGGATTTATACAGTTAGAAAAACTTCTGTGAAAAGGCTATCGAGGTCGCAGTGGCAGCTATTTCTGATGCTTTACTGTTGCGGCTCCTTTGTCGTGATGCAAGATTCCACGTTTTTGAAGATATTGTTGCACAGAAGCGGGTACATTTGTTCTCAACGACCCAGAAACTGATATGAACCTGTTGAACAGTAGCTTTGCCAATCCATCTATTTCCGATTCATATTGTTCACAAACAAAAAATAGCGTGAAAGCCAACACCAGCGCTGCAAAATATGTCCAACAAGATCAACACAAAGTTTAAACAAATAAGCGATTAATTGACTCGGGCATGGTGAAACTGGCATTCTCTTACCTACACCTAACGACACAGTCGAGGCATGAGACAAAATCAACTTGAGGAAAAAGAAGGAAGCTGCAAACTGTAGAGATGGCCACAAGAGAATAATTGCTGTCAATGAAAACTCACCCATTCATATAAAAGTTGCATTTGGAAATATTAGAATTTATGTATCAGAAAGATATTTGTAAATAGAATAATTGAAGTTTAAACGGTTATTTTAGAAAAGAAAGAAAAGATGCTGAAGTTCATACTCTGCATGGATCAAATTGACGCAAACATTTCCAACAAGTATAATAAGCAGGAGATACAATAGTATTGGTAAGTAGCGTTCAAATACCGCCAGTCAATTACAATGTAAATCATTCAAATGGTCATATTAATTCTTGAGAATCTGGCCAAGACGAATAAATGAATTTAGGTCCAAATTTTCCTAACATACACAAATTTTGATAGCTAAAACTGGCAATACCTGTGCTCACGAAAAGGTTTCGCGGTTAAAAGTTACATAAAACGTGAAATTGGACATTTTCCAGGAGTCATGCACTTCAATAAAGGGAATAAATTATTAGTGCATACCTTGAAGAAAATATACCACCCATCTCCCTGGGCCAGTAGTCTCAAATAACAAACCCCTCTGTTCCACAGATATGCTATCATTGCAATCTTCTCTTTCACTACCATTTCAGGGATCTCAAAACAAGATAAAGATAGTGTCTTAAAGGTAAAACCCAACCTGTTCGAAAGACATTATGGTCAGTATATGTAAATTAACTAAAGCACAAAAGAATTCTTCCAGCACTTACAAGTTTAATCAAGCAAAAGCTTTGTAAACACAAATACTTACATCTTGGGTGGTAGAATCCCATATCCATAGAGGCCAAATGAAACTAACAGCAGAAGCTTGGACAAAGACGAGGCAAAAGTTCTTCCGGAAAGGAAAAACCAGTAATACAACATACTCAAAGCAAGGAAATATGTAAAAGTCTTCTTCTCATCACGCCACAGCAGAATGTCTGCAACTGCAGTGACAGTTCAATGTCATTCTACAATCCAAATAAAAAGCTTTCATGAAAGTTCTAGTATGCATATTTTTCATTTATCAAAGCAAGAAACTTTCGATGAAAAGAAAAAGTACAAAAACAGAGGACAAAGTGTCGTCTGGCCTGAGTGAATGCATATGAACGACAATCACGTTTAATCCAAAGATGTTTTCTGAAATGCAAATACTGTCTAAGTTGGTGTGTTCCATTTATTTTAAACTCTGTTCATCAGTTGAAGTAAAGCTGTGGACCAAATTGCGTATTACCATGGGACCATGCAAGAACAAATTAACATATGTAGCACTTGAACCCCAAAACCAGGCACAAAGTTCTGATTCAATCCCAGCCCTACCCAGTTATAAATTTTGTTACTAGGAGTCAAACACACTCGGATAAATACTGGGAAATCTGATTTGCAGGTTTGAGGATAAGTGAAAGCAAAACTTCATCCCAGATAAACGAAAAAGGAGCGCAGAGTAAAAACAATATAATTAAAAATGAAAAAACGACTTCAGGCTTACAATGTGTAGCTGATATCAAAATTGAGCAGAAAATAAAATGGTACTACGGAAAACAACCTTCTCCACTGCCTAGCAGCTTCTCCACTTTTGATTCCTCATTAAAGTTTCTGAAAGTTGGGATAGATGAGTTCCTGGCTATATTAGAGAATGACTCGACGGTTAATTTCACACCTTCCTGTACACAGACAAAGAAGAATGTTAAACATGGAATTGTTATGCTCTATAGTAAGCCATAGGAGAATATGACAATATACACCACTTTAAATGCAACAAAAACTGTAGGAATTTGTTTTCCAAAACGAAAGGATCAGGGAGCAGTCTTCATTAATTTTCTGTTATTAGCCGACCCCACTTAGTGGGAAAAGGCTTTGTTGTTGTTGTTGTACTATAGATACTAGAGCAATCAAATACTGCTCAGGATCCAGCATATAAGATGTGGCACGACAATGAACATGTCAGGGCCTAACTAGCCAGACAGTTTGTAAAGGTCATAAGCTTCAATCGGATATCTATAGAAGGATGTAAAACCGCCAAGAATATTCCAATGCTGCAACTTTGCAAAATATATTTGAACATGGAGAAAAACACATCACAATATTCTCTTTTATAGGGCAAGGCAAGAGTAAAGTTGCAACTAAATGACATGAAGGACTAACAATAATAAATGAACGAAAAACTTACTTCCAGCGAGACAACTGGTGAATACCCAATCTGGTTTTGAGCCGCAGTGCAGTCGAACGTTCTACTACGTGAAGCTAATTGAATGTAATGCGCTGACATCAAATTGTTGTATTTTATCCTTCCATACTTTTCAGATACCCGTTTGATGAACAAAAGAATATACCAAGCCATCTTAGCAGGAACTTTCAGTAATGGTCTGCAATGAGAAAAAATGGTAAAAAATGACTTCTGAGGCACAACATGAAAAGATTCCAAAGAAACCTCAACAGATCCTAAAGAAACATAAAATAATAAATACCCAGAGTTGTTTTTAACACTTTGGACTACATAGTACGTGCGTAAAAGCACGTAAAAGATGCCAATACAGAAGATCACATATCAGAATAAAAAAAAGGTGAAGATAAAATGAAAAATATACCGGTCAATTTAGGGTTTGAAAATAAGCTTATTTTTCAAGGGTGATGATATACATACACCCCTTTTTAACTTCCACACACCTTAAATTTCAGCCATCAGATCGAATGAATTGAAGAAGATTAAAGGACAGAAACTAACAGGAGGTGTGTGGGAAGTAAAAAGAGGTGCGTGGATAGCACCAACCTTCTTCAATATTTTCATTTATATAACTGTTCCATACGATAAGCAAGATGAAGCGTTTACTGAAATTTCTGAAATGGGTGTGCCCATGTAGACAGGTAATATTAAGCATTTTCTTCTTTTATATCTCAATTATAACCTTAAATCAAGCACAATAATGCATGAGAAATAAAAATTGCGCTACACAATTAAATGAATCAATTAACAAATCAGCAATTTCCATATCTGTGAAAGCTATGGTGGTTAAAATTCGTTTTTCCTTCAATAGCAATAAGGTGGAAAACAATTCATTTTCTTAACTCTACTAAGAAATTACACTCTTTTCTCTCCCACTCCCAAGGTGGGGCCACACTTCTCTGTTCCTACAGCCTATTGCCGAAATTTAGCAACAAATACACAGACAAAATTGGCCATGATGACAACTTAGTATGACTTGAACCATGGATAAATTTTTGTAAAGGTGGTAATCTTTGCATATCTTATACAGAAGAATGTCCGGGGAGCAGCAAATATACTGATACCAGAGTCAAAGTTCAAACTATAACACAAGTATACCCAAGAACCAAGCATGACAGGGTCAAGAGCTTTTGTGCCTTTCACTGATCTTGTAAGATATGCAATTTGCTCATTTATAGTAAGTTCAGTTTATCTCTTGGATTCCTAGAATAAAACCTAACATTTTCTAATTTCCCTATTGGAGTGATTCCAATAAACCTTTGGGGGCAATGCTAAAGGCCAGAGTGAGTATGGATCTCTCATCTCTTTATTTCTCTTACTATTGTCCTATATTAATAATGCATGCAAATACATGCATCTATCCCCTGCTTATGCAACAACACAACAAACAAAGAATGTAAAGTCTCTCAAAGAAAAATATAGGAATGTTTGCTTTACCTTTGACATCCCAGGCATTCCAAGATTAGTAATACAAATACCCAAAAATTTGCAGGCTCGAGATTTGTGATGAAAAAGGCCTACATATTGATCACAAGTACCTTCTTAACCATGGACCTAGAAGAAACGGAAAAATAAAGTGCTGTGCACTCAAGAGACTTAAAATTGTAAGTACCTTTCCAGCAGCAGAGACCATCCGAAATTCTAAAGCTTCTTCTGCACAGATATGAGCATGAGTAACATTCTCAACGTATGTGAAATCTGACATGTTTTCACCACTCCCTATAATAAACTGAAATGAGAATCTCTGTTACTTCAAAAAATACTGAAATAACTTGTGTACGAGGAATTATAAGATATTAAACCACATAATGACCAAGATACCAGAGATAGGGCGAGGGAGGCGATATCATAATTGGTGGTATGCAAACATCAATTATGTGTGATTATTAAATAAGGCTCCAAGTTAACAAAGTGTATGTGAAACAGTACATAGGATGAAATGAACGGATAGTTAAAAAAACCTTTCCCCAGCCAGATTTTGCCAAGTTCACAAAAAATGGCACAAGATGTGTGTCTCCAGGTCCAAATACATTGCTAGGACGAAGCACACATGTTAAAAGACCATCAATGTCATTAGAATGCAGGATAAGTGATTCTGCTTGAGCCTTGAGGTCACTCAACATATCATCAAACTGTATAAAGCATAATAAAACTAAGTTAGAAAGAAATTTTAGCAGATCGAAAAGTAGGCAGTGCTCCACTATAAACATGAAGAAAGTCCCTTGCCAGTGACATACTTTCCAAGGGTATGCCAAAGATTCATCTCCATTTAATATATCTTTCGATCCATCAAAAACTACATCAGCAGAACTATTGTATATTAACCGCCTAACTTTGCAGTCTCGACAAGCACTGATGACATTTTTTGCACCTGCACAAGAATTTGAGATGACAGTAACCATCTATTCCTCCAAAATACGCATTGCAAAAAATCTGATTTGTTTCTTCATTAATAGGGATTTACCTTGAACAACAATCATATAGCACTGGCAGAAATCATGTGTGGGTAAATCATCCCCATCCAAATAGAACACTACAGATGAACCTTCAATGGCTGCAAGAGATGCAGGTCATACTATGGCAATTAATTTCTGAACTCAGAGCTTTGATATAATAGGAAAATACCACAAGTGCCTGAACATGGAAACCGGGAAGCAGTGCAACAGATATCTAAGGAGAATCATTACGCAACTAGCTAAGACAAATGTTATAAACTAAACCTGCTCTTATTACACCCATCGAATTTCATAGCACCTATTTTACCCTAATTTCACAAATTGGAGCAAAAACATCAAATGTGAAACACTTTCAATCTCTAGCAACCAAACACTAGATGAGTAACCTTGGAGTTGAATTCCAATCACAAGTTTTGATCAATAAGACATTCGTAATTAAGTTTACACCTCTTCCTCCCATTCCTTCAGTTCGGTTTCTGAATCCTCTAGAGGTTTTTTTTTTATAATTATTTTCAATGTTTTCAAGAATATTGCACCAGTAAATACTTATAATCTGGGAGAAATCCTAAAATTTTCCACCTCTGATCAACTTTTCTTGTTAAAATTTTGCAAATTCTCAGCAATCCTTCTAACGAAAACGAAGTAACAAATCAAAACCTAGCATTTCATGCTTAGAACCACTCCACTCAATCAACAAAATGCATCACTTCAGTCTCAAGCCAGCCTACCTTTTGATTTCATCAAATATTTTCTCTCTCGCATTTTCTCATACAGCAACCACACAAGAACACACGAAACGGAAAATAAACGAACAAAACAAATTTCGAAAAAAGATTTATTTTTATTTTACCAGCGATGATTTGAGACGTGTCGCGGACATCGACGCCGTGTAAGGAAGCGCGGCCGGAGGAGAGAGCTTGCGAGAGGAGGGAGTCGCGCTCGGAGGGATCGAGCTGGAGGGACTGAGTCGAATCGGCAACGCGAACGATCCACTTTCCGATATTCAAGAGCCGGAGGACGAGCGATCGCCCGAGGAAGCCTCGGCCGCCTAAGACGACGCAGGTTCTGGGCTTTGGGTTGAGCTCCGCCAGCCGATCGTCCATCGCCATTTTCTCCGATAGAGGGCGAGGGCGTGGTGTGTTTGGCGCGTAATAAATTAGTGTGTGCTTATGCGAGAAAATGAGAATGGTCAGTGGTGGGTGAGTCACTGGATAGAGAGAGAGTGAGAGAGAGTTGTTTGTTCCTTACGCTTTTGAGGTGGAGTGGGGCCCAAATAGTGCGGCTTTAGCGCTTTCGGGTGTACTGAAACTCGATTGCGATTTTCGACCATAAAAAGATTCGAGTGCGATAGATAGTCCCAGTGGTTGGCCGGCTCGTTTTTTAATTAGTATTTTGTTGAGGTTTTTTTTTTCTTAATTAAGTTACTTAACCATTGTTTAATGGGTTCAATTTTTATACTCCGTATCGTTAAATGATATGACTACTAATATCGTTAGATTGAAGTTAGACCGTCATCTATCCATATCATTTATAGATACTGAGTATGGAAGGAAAGTCCTAATTTCACAAAGATAATTGAAATTATTTTGGTTCTTTTTCTGATAATTATTATAATTCTTTTTGTCTATGTGTTTATGCAAGCGCTAACTATAAAAAGTATGTAACATATAAAATTTAGCATCAAATATCTGAAAAATCAGTAATCATATCAATTGTGGAAGTTAGTTGAACACATACATCATTCTTTTTCTTTTTTCTTGATTTATGATTTTTCTTATTTCAGATAAGTAAATATTTTAGGTAGAGAACATTTCAGGTTTAACGGATACCCAGAATCAGAGTTGGTGAAGTTGGCTACTTAAGCAATATTGGACACCAAGCACTTCGTGTATGAATGCTAGGACAAGTGGTTCGGGAGAAAGTCCGCTACAATAGCTTGCTACTGGGATCTTCGTGTTTCGCCCAAGTCTTGCGCAACTACTCCGACTAGCGCACCCCAACCATAAAAAAATTGCTAGGACAAGTGGGCTAGTCGTGCCGTGTCTACATACTTGTCGTGAAAACAACCACACATGGTGGTAATTCATGTTAATAGGTCGTTTTTGTGTTGTGCTATTTTTTATGTTAAAAACTAGTCGATCAAAATAGCATCTCCGATGAGCTTGCAATTGCCCTTGGACACAACAATGATGCTCCACCGGTGGAAAAAGTGGGAGGCAGTTGGGCAAAAGGCAGCGGCCCTTGCATTGCCCCCCTTCAACAATTGCAAGGGTTCGCTCACCCGTGAAGCCTAGCAGACACAGGGGGCCCTTGTGAAGTTCAGTAGACCCTTTAATTTTGCGGCGCGACTACATGGCTCTTGGTGAGCCTCTGAATTCGTCAAATTCAACAACTAAAACGAATCCAATTCTAAAAAGGTAATTGTTATTGGCATTCCAAAAATCTCATTCTGACACACCCCGACCCAGAGGATCAAGGCGTGCTGGCCGTCACGTGAGCGTGACGTAACCATAAGTGCGACACGGAAGCAAGATATAACAGAATACGAAGGAATTCAAATCAATCTCTAGTAGAACCACCTACTAGAATAAAAGGATGAGTTATAAAGTAAACACATAAATTCAGAGCATAGGTTTAAGTGCAGTCAAGTAGGACCAAAATAAAATACATCACCCGCAGGTGAGTCCTACATGCAGAACGTCTGTCAGAATGCCGAAAAAGACCTCGAGAGCCACCAACCGCTAACTAGAACCTAGAGGGGCGCAAAACAAAGATGAGTGGGTCAGTAAAATCAAAGATTTTCCAAAACATTTCATTTAAAACATTTCTAACCCCTCACCGAAAAACCTGTATATTTTCTCAGAAAAATAGTATATAACATATATATACACATATCATCAAAACTCAGCTCATACCCATCAACATAACATCTCAGAAATAATATGCCACGCCATGCCAAATATAATCAGAAATGCATCAATATCAATCAGGTGAAATAATAAATCAACCGGAGACCCTACAATGGTCCTGTACGGTTGATTCTAAAGCTCAACATCCCACTCAGCCGGAGTCACCACAGTGACCTATACGGCCCTGCCGGAGTCACCAACTGCGACCTGTACGGCACTACACTGCACATCACTCGGAACTACGTATAGTAGTCTGTACGATGAAACTTAGGAAATATGTGCATTAATCCAAAGTATATCACACACACACATACCTTAATACCCGCTAAGGGTAATCCCATCATTTCACATTCCCGTCAAATGTACCTCCGGGACGGGCTGTGACACATTCTATACTCTAAACTTTCTATATTTGAAAAAAAAATACACTTGTGAGGAGTGCATAATGAAATTTTTGGAGTGCCGATAACAATTCTCTTCTAAAAAATACAATAAAATCATAAAAATTATTTAAAATTTTCAAAAAACTTACAAAGTTCACACTTAAAAAATTATTGCAAAGTTCAAACACACTTACAAATTAAACAAAAATATATAGCAATAATAAGGACATGTGGGGATAAGACGAAAAAAACATTAAAAAATATGTTTGTGAATAGTAATCGTCATTGCCCTTCCTCCTTCCAAATGGATGAATTTGCACAAAAACAATTAATGTTTAGAGTGAATAGTCATTGCTCTTACACTTCAATTGCCATTGCTGATGAAGATGCTCTATGCTCATCCATTTTCATTTGATTTCATAAAGTTCTCTAAACCTTAAACCCTTTTAGTTATTCTAGGATCCATTTAATTTTGGATAAGATTTTCCTTTTCAATTCAATACTACTTTTTCGTATTGTTTTTGTTAGATTGATGTTGGAGTGTAGTTCGGAGGTGGCTCTGGAGGGATTTCAGATTTTTTTTCAGTACCTTGGATAGTAAATCTAACAAATTTAAGTTGTTGAGACGAATTTTGAATGACTTACAAATTATTGGACTATCAATTAGGTATTGATTATCCAGCAAAATCAGTATATATAATTTTTATTATAACACGTCACAAGTTGTTGTGCGTTGACACTAATACATATACATAAGAGCTTAATAGAAATTAAAATCACCGAATGCGATCAAATAAGAACTGAATTTTCATAGTCTTACTTCACTTTCTCTCTCCCACTTCCTATTTTTCCCTTTTTTTATTTTAATTTCCATTCAATTAAAACTTTCATTCCAATTTTTTAAATTGTCATATATTTAAACACACACATAGTGTGAGACTTTTATCCAATATATATGAGTTAAGATCCAGTGACACATTTTGTGACTTCTATTTCATAACTTTTAAAAAAAATCCGAACCATCTTATATTTCAATTCATCATTCATCTTTGTAAAAAATTAGACAAATCACAGACCATTAAGACATTCATTTGTAGTAAAAAAAAAAAAATTGGTGAATACAGTTATGCCGAGAAAACACTAAATTTAATGGACGGTCATATGAATTTGAAATTGATTGATCTTTGGTAAAGATGATTTTTGAGGAAAAACATGCATTTTGATACATAGATGTTGAAATGCATTACAGAGTGAGCCCCATAAAAACATGCGTCAAAGTGTGTCAAAAAAGTGTCCTCGGAATTCAAGTCCTAACATATATACATGCGTGATGCTATAAGAGATCAAATTTTTAAATCAAATTTTATATATCACGTAATGCAACGATTGATGGTCAGAGTCCTTTAAATCATTAATAAATGAGCCCAACCATCAACCCCACATGGTTTACAAAAGATGAACTTGGGCTCCCAAGCATTTTCCTAATATATACTAGCATTTGCCTACATACTTTGTGTGTAAGAACACATTTTTTTAGAAAATGAGAGAGAGAGAGAGAGAGCGAGAGAGAGAGAGAACGTGAGGGGAGTGAGAGGTTTTTGTTTTTGTTTCTTTATTTTTATTTTTAATTTTTAATTTTAATATTAGAGATATTTTAACATCACCTGTAGATGACGTTTCAATAAAAGAAGTAAAATTTAAACTTAGGAAATTACATTATTGCTCATCATTTTTTTGTGTGATAGAATACTAAGTTATCTTTTCACTCTCTTTTGATTCACAAAGAGGTTTCATTAATTAGTAGATATATATATTTGGTGAGACGTAGTGGGAAGGGAGGTTTGGTTTTGGTGAACCAATTCCCCCGACTGCACATCCCATGCAGTTTCCAAAGAGACCGAGAACTCTTGATGTATGGACAAATGCATATATCTTAGCTGTACTTAATTTCACAAAATGCTCGGGTTATCTCAATCTTAATATACAAACAAAACTTGTTCCCAAAAAAACAATCATGACAAGCATCAAAACGCATCCTTTGCTTGGCGTATGACACCCAAGGCTTCCGCATCATTCGCCGTGTCTGGAATATTCAACGACTGTCGAATCTCTCGACTTGATGTGCGAAGAAAAGGATTGCATTCCTTTTCCAGTTTTAATCTGGTTGGAACCTGTTATGTACACCACAAAAGAGTTTGAGGTCACTTGGACAGTAATTTAATGAAAATTGCCAGTGAACGTAGGATAAACAAAGAAAATTTTCATGCTCGCTATGAATTCTAGACATATTTACTGCATGTGGTGCAATAACCATAGACGATGAACAGAATGGCATGCACATGCTCGCTGCCTGATTAGGAACTGACATGCGTATTGGTGAGTTACATTGTTGTTTTATTCCTGAATAGCTAAGGCTTTTCTAACCCGATTCAAAGTCACAATTCACAAATTTCTCTCAAAAGATCATACTCGTTCAAAGAAAAGAAGACCTTAAGTTTCGGGCCTTAAGCAACTGGTAACCAAAAAAAGGGAAAAAGGAAGTCCTTGAGTTTACCGTAGGCATGCCCTTGTTGCGAAGATGGATGACATGAGCTGCATAGGACTGAAGTGCCTCATTCTCAGGTTCTATAGACAAGGCAAACTTTGAGTTACTCTGTCCAAAAAAAAAAGGGTTCTCTTCCTGTCAGGGCCTTCTTGTTCGTGGCATTAAAAAATTATGTAGGCCACAAAAAGAAACTGAAAGGGTAGTATGACTAACCAAGGTATATTCATGACCACAGTATATATCTGTGTCATCTGGCAAAGACGTGATCTTTGTAAGGGAAGAATGCATCTGTCACAAAGAAAAATCAACTGTTTGAGTACTGTACCCACGGAACAAGGACATAACAAAAA